AGAGAGAGAGAGACCTCAATTTGTTCAAAAGCACTCCCTGGAGGCGCAGAAGAACGCTGGTGACTGCTTGAACGTCCTTTGGGGCTATGACTGAGACCCAGCCTCTCCCTTTGCTCTAAGTGGTTTCCTCGTCTTTTGAATGAGTCATCTGTGAATACAGATACCAAATTAAACAAAAAAACAAAACAAATAAACCAATCCAAAGTCACATGATTCTGGCAAACTTGCCTCGCACAATTGTAGGACCCATGATTGCTCGGGTCTTTTTTGGTTTCCAAGTTTTAGAGAATATCCCACCAAGACTTCCAAGAAGCTTCTCCCCCTGAATTCAAGAAACAACCCATGAAAACAAATAATTAACAGCAAAATGAAATTGTAACAATGTTCCCATAACCAGAAATATAGGCAAATTCAGCTGATAAGTGATGGGTACATGGTTGGCCAATAGCAAGCATCCTTCCAAGTACTAAATGTTTCATGTGCTATGGAGTATAGAACCTTTACAAAGATCACTACAAGTCTCAAGGTTTAGCGTAAAGAAATATTGTGCATGTGTAGCAATGTCCCATACCACAGAAGGACAATACATGGCACATGCATAAGGCCACACACACGATCTCTTGCCTTCTCACTCAAATGCTCTACTCATATAATGGATGGTCTAAATGATTTGTTGCAATAAACACTATTTTTAGAATTAGAAATCCTAATTTTTTTGCACAACCATAATGTTTAAGCAGAGATGATCGATTTATAGGTATTTTAACACTTAGAATTGCAATTTTTTATGAGAGTTTAGGTGAGGCTTTACTTGTTTTGATAAGGCTGCAGCCCTATCAAACTATTCTCTCTCTCTCTCTCTCGTTATATATATATATATTAAAATGCATTAACGGTAAGAAGAGGTGATACAAAAGTGTAAACTATAAAAACGGGGGTAGATTGGCCCACACTAGAACTTCCACTACCCAGGGCGATCCTATTATAGGGATAGCCTCAGGCACGCCGGTCACCATTTTGACTGCCTAATAACCAATTTGGTCCCGAGGTAAGGAATAATCAGTTACACCAAAAGATGTAGTCAATACAGCCAGAACCACACCTATATATATATATATATATATATATATATATATATATA